AGGTCATGGTTCGATCCCAGTCAGGGTACCATGCCCAGGGATTGCAGGCTCGATCCCCAGTAGGGGGGCATGCAGGAAACCAGCCAATCCATGATTCTCTCTCATCATTGATGTTTTCTCTCTCTCTCCATTCCCCTTCCTCTCTGAAATCAAATAAACACACCATATTTTTAAAAAAGAAAAGAGTTTATCCTTTGAAGCAGCAAGAGCCACTCCGTCCTTGGGGCTTTTGGCCATGTCATCATCTTTGATGGTTCTGACCCGTGAGGAAGGACAGAGGAGGAACTTTCCACTGGCCAAGGCCCAACCAAGCTTAGGTCTACTGCTCGCCACGGCCACTGGCCTGTCTGATTGTGCAAGACAGTCAGCATCTGGCAAACGCTCGTGTCCTCTGGTTCTGACAAATACGATGGGCCCTCATACTCCTCCTCCGAGTATGTGTGTCCGTGGGACTAATGGACGACAGGAACCGACCAGGAATGAGGAAGCCGGTGGGAGATCAACCTTTCCATTCGGAGCTTGAGAAAATGAACAGACGCATAGTTTTTTGTTTGTTTGGGGTTTTTTTTTTTTGCATTCTAAGAAACACCATGTACAGTAGTTCCTCTGAAGAATTCAGGGGAAATAACTGATCAAGAGTAGATCCCAGCTGCTTGAGCTACAGGGTGATTAGTAATACATATGTGCACTCTCAGAGCTCTGACGGTTTATAGACTGCTTCATTCATTCATTCATTCATTCATCACCCGTGTCACCATGCCCGGGCCCTGTCGTCATGGAGCGCTGGCTATGGGGCTGACGGTGCCTGCACGCAAAGGGCGGAGGCGCATCGCCAGTGGGGGAAACGGGACTCTGTCTGCTGTGCAGGCAGCGGAGCTGGGAAGGTGAGTGATACATGAACCGCACGCCGCAGCCCAGGGCAGCGAATGCCGTGATGACAGCTGCGCAGACTGAAAGGATGGGACAGTCCGCACTGTGCGCGGGGGAACCCGTGTCCTGAGGGGTAGGCGGCATCCTTTTCCAACCATCCCTGTGCAGGGAAAACACACCTCCAAGTCAGTTTGTCATCATTCTTTCTGCTCAAATAAAACGAGACACTAGCTGCCAAGTAGCTCCATGGGTCATCTTCGGTTTTCCCGTTTGAATGCGATAAAGTGAAAATACGTCCGGACGCCCCATCTTTCTGGGACACGGAGCTAAGGTGTTCAGGGGAGATCAGGACGAACAGACAAACGAAACCCGTGAAGGACGCATGGCCTGTACCCCGTAAGGCAGTGGTTCTCAACCTTCCTAATGCCTGACCCTTTAATGCAGTTCCTCATGTTGTGGTGACCCCCAATTTCATTGTTACAAATTGAACATAATTAAAGCATAGTGATTAATCACAAAACAATATGTAATTATATATGTGTTTTCCGATGGTCTTAGGTGACCCCTGTGAAAGGGTCGTTCGACCCCCAAAGGGGTCGCGACCCACAGGTTGAGAACCACTGTAAGGGCTTCAAACCAAGCCGGAAAGTGGGGAGGACATCGTGTTGGGGTGGGAAGAGGCAGCGTTGGAACTCACAGGCTAAGGTGCTCCCACGTCTGAGCTGCCACTGACGAGCCGCTGACCTTCGCACAAGCCTCCCGCTCCCGACACCCCTTGCCCAGGAGCAGAATGAGGGCTGGGTCAGAAGCTCGTTAAGTGCAGGGGCCTCAGCGCTGGCACGCACACCATCGGGACTGGCACCAGGCCTCCGACTCCTCACTGTGCTCCTTCCTGCCACCCGGTGCCGGCCCAGCAAAATGGTGTGCCTCGTCCCCCCAAGCCCGGGACGCCCCGAGCCCCAATCTCCACGGCCCTGTGTGCCCGCCGCACAGGTGCACGTCTTACCCAGCCCCGCAGCAGCTCGTAGGCCGTGACGCCCAGGGACCACCAGTCGACGGGGTAGGAGTACCCGGGGCCTCCGTCCACGTAGACCTGGAACACCTCCGGGGCTGCCAGAGACAGGATGAAGAGAATGTCACTGCGCATCTCATTTATACTCACCGCCCCTGAGAGAGGGGAACGGCGTCTTGGCAGACGTGGCAAGTTAAGGACCCCACGGTGCAGTCACAGTGGGGAGGACCGGCTCCTTACTGACCCCCCAGTGAATCAGGCCGTGGTGTAGACCCCTCCCACAAGGCCCCTGGCCTGGGTCATGTGACTTGCTCTGGCCAACTGGGCATCGGGAAATGTGAGATAGGCAGAGTCTCGATAAGCATGTGGGGACTGGCATCTCCTGAGGCCTCTGTCACCATGTGCGCAAGCTCACTGTCGTCCCCGCGATGATGGAGACCACGCAGGGAGAGGCCCGTTCCTCTCAGCTCTCCTGGCGGAGCCCCCAGCTGGCCCACCGGCTGAATGAGGGAGCCCAGCCCAAACCAGCAAAGAGCCGTCCGGCCACATGGCAGGACTGTGAGAAGTCTTATGTCATTATTGATCTAAGCTACGAAGCTTTGACATGGTTTGTTACTAAGGAAACGGGAACTAATATAGACATCAAGAATTAAGAACTAAGAAAGACATTAATAGACTTATACCAGACAAAAGAGCAACATACATTTGAATTTAAAAACTCAGCGATCAGGCAAGAGAACTCAGGGGGAAAAAATCAGAAATAAAGGGAAACTATTTCAGTAATAAATACTTCACCAGAAAGCACACAAAGTGAATATACACGCAACAGATCATGCTTTAAAGGAAAGAGAAAGAAAAATGAGAAAAGTTTAAACAAATAAAGGAAGATATAAGAAAGATCTGAAAATGACAAATATTGAAGGGTGGCAAAGGAAACCCAACGTTCAGATCATCGGCGTCCTTAGAGAAAACAGAATGCTTGTCAAAAATAATACTCCCATCAAAAGTCACGAAGAAAAACCAACATAAAACCACACATTGTATACGGAAGCATACAGACCCAACTGACCAAAACCAAGGCTATATGCTGGAAAAACTAAGGGGCTTAAATCAAAAAGAAAAGAAAGGTTGGTTGGTTGGTTTTTCCCTAAGCCTGAGCCAAGCCTCCTGGCTGGGCAGGAGTTCCCTAGAACAGCGGTCGAGAACCTTTCGGACCTCATGGTTGGCGACCGCTGCGCCAAAGGTTTCCTTAAAGAAGACACAGGAGGGGAAGGTGTGTCCGGCAGGGCAGACAGCCTGGGTGAAGCCCGAAGGTGTCAGAGAGCTGGGCACATCCTGGGCACGGATGGGGTTGGGGGTAAAGCAGGAGAGGATCCTGATGCCTTAGCCACCAGGCAGGTCACACCCCAAAGGGGTGCTGGGACACTCACCCATGTAGGGCTTGGTGCCGGCCATGGAAGAAGCCTTCTCCGCCCCCTGCAACACCGTCGCGATGTTGAAGTCCGTGATGTGGACGTGCCCTAGAGACAGGGAAGCAGAGGCCCCATTAGCAAGAGCTGCAGGCGGCTGTGCTACTCCTGGTGTGACTGAGAGCTGTGGTCTGCGAGGTGCCGGCCGGTTAGAGCGCCTGCTTACACTTGTGTTTTATCAAATACTTTGACAACGTCCCCCCGACCCCAGGATTATTCACAGTAGCCAAGACATGGACACAACCTAAGTGTTTATTAACAGACAAATGGATAAAGGATGTGTCATGTATATACAGTGACGTATTATTCAGCCAGAAGAAAGGACATCCTGTCCTTTGCAACCACAGGGATGGACCTGGAGGACATCATGCTAAGTGAGATGAGTCAGACACATAAAGACAAATTCTGCAGGGTATCACCTACACGTGGAGTCTAAACAAAATTCAAATTCATAGAAACAGAGAGTAGAAAGCAGTTGCCAGGAAATGGGGTGGGGAAGTGGGGAGAGGTGGGTAAAGGGCAGCTCGAAGATGAGTAAGGTCTGAGGAGCTAATGGACAACATGGAGACTAACTGATAACACTGAGTTATATAATTGAAAATTGCTAAGAGTACAACTTAAATGTTTATATACACTGAGTGGCCAGATTATTATGACCACCTGACGTTTGTAGGCAAATTAGCTATAACTTCGGGCTGAAGTTGCTAGAGGGCCAGATCATTATAAACGTCTGAATAGCACAACACACCTAAGTATCATTGCTGATCAAGTTCATCCTATCATGTTGATGGCGTATCCCAATGGAGATGGCTTCTTCCAATAAGACAATGAGCCATGCCACGGTGCTCGTATTGTGCAGGAGTGGTTTCAAGAACATGAGGGAGACTTTACCTTGCTTAGGTGGCCCCCACAATCACCAGATCTCAATCCAATTGAGCATTTGTGGGACGAAGTTAAAAGAGCCATCAGGCAGCTGGTTCCACAACCATCAAATCTCACAGAACTGGACAGTGCTATTATCAGGCATGGTGTCAGATTCCTCGCATCACCTTTCAACATCTCGTGGAGTCAATGCCAAGAAGAATCGCCGCAGTATTGAAGGCAAAAGGTGGCCCTACGAAGTACTGATGGGGTGGTCATCTGGCCACTCAGTGTATATACTAGAGGCCCAGTGCATGAAATTCATGCACAGGGGAGGGGAGGGTCCCTCAGCCCAGCCTGCACCCTCTCCAATCTGGGATCCCTCTCGCAATCCGGGACTGCTGGCTCCTAACTGCTCGCCTGCCTGCCTGCCTGATCACCCCTAACCACCTCTGCCTGCCGGCCTGATTGCCTCTAACTGCACTCCCCTGCTGGCCTGATCGCACCTAACTGCTCTCCCCCGCTGGCCTGATCGCCCCTAATCGCCTCTGCCTCGGCTCCCGCCATTGTGGCTTTGTCCGGCAGGACTTCCGGAAGATGTCTGCTCTAATTAGCATATTACCCTTTTATTAGTATAGATGTCTATTTTATGGGCAAATTTTAAAGTACACATTTTTTAGTGGTTCATGCATATTACCTATAAATAAACAAATCTACTCATAATGAAGGCATGATAAAAATATTTATAGATTACAAGTTTAGAGGCACGGATCCAGAGAGTGAGAGCTCCTGGTGAATAGCAGAGGCAGGTCCACCCAGACTGCCCATCTCAGGACAACTGTGCGAGACCGTGCAGGGGCAGGGCAGGGCGAGGAGAGGGCTCCTGTGCCCAGAGGTCACTTCTGCTCTCCTGTCTCGGCTGTGGTCAGTGGGGGCCTCAGGACGGTACCTGACAGATTTAGTGTGTGTGTGTGGGGGGGCTATCCTGGGTGTCTGGTGCCTGGCCCTGGGATGCTGGGATGACCAGGGCAGGTGACAGGGCAGGTTGACAGTGGCCCTGGAGTGTGAAGCAGTCCAAGCATGGAATACAGAACAATAAGAGGGGTTTCTCCCACCCTCACAGCCCAAGCGGTGGAAAGGCAGAAAACAGCC